AAAAACCACTTCTAGTTCATTTGTGACCTTGAGGATTGTAGGATTGTGAAGGGGATATTTTTCTGTGTTTCTGTTATTATAATGTAAATACTTCATTATTATTTTAGCTTCTTCCCAAATTACTCTTTGACCTATTTTTCCAAGTAAGTTGTTTTTGAGAGGTACCTTATTTTTCGTTTATGTTTTTTCAGTCTCTTGACTTTATTCTAATATTTCTTGTTGTCTCAGGCAGTTATTGAGTTCTCTTTGGTTGTTCTAATTTTTAGGGAACTCACTATAAGTTTATGCTACTTGTTCTTCTACTAGTTCTTACTTCTGCTACTGTTCTTTCACTTGTAATTTCATTTCTTCCACATACTCTTGTAGTCTTCGTGTCCAAAACCATTTTTTTCTCTGAGACTATACTGGTAGTTGTTCTGAAGTTGCTCTTTTATTATTAAGTTTACCTTTTGGGCATCCCTTGATGCACAATATTTCTTCATAATGTTTGGTACTCTTATTGCTGGCTTCCATCTCTCTTGCTGTGTTTGTACTTAGATCACTGGTAGGCTTCTGTGGTCTTCTGGTCTCCCTGGCATATATCACTTGTCAAGAAACTGTTGTAGGTTTTTTTTTCCCCGTAGGGTGTCCTTTGTTATTGTACTGCTGAAGAGTTCAGGCCTGTTTCCTTCTGATCTGGCTTCCTTGATGGGGAAGCCTATTCTTTCTTCCAGCCATCTGTGTCTTCTTGAGTACGAGGGTGGTGTGAGTACCTTGATGATGATAAGAGAATGAGAATAATGTTTTAATTTGAGTGGGAAGGGACAGAATACTTTGAGGCCACTAGTAGCTTTTCTTACCACTTACATTCTTGATTATGCCTCCATGCTCTTAGATCTACCATTGCCTTTGAGCAAAACTCTTAGCAAAGCTGATCCACTCTAAGGACAGAGGTGGATTGTGAGGGGATCAACTAATTTTCTTAGTGTATATTCATTAAATAAAAGGTTAAATGTAATTTATTTTAAAAATTCATTTTAATTTTACTTTCAGTTCTGAATTTTCTCCCTTCAGCCTTCTCTTCCCTGTTGAGAAAGCAAGAAAAACAAAACCCTTTAAAAATATGTAGTTAAGCAAAACAAATTCCTGTATTAACCATCTTTCCCTCTGCCCCCCAGAATGCTTCAGTATGTTGTCTGAGTCCATCATCTCCCTCTCTGGAAGTGTATAGCATGTTTCGTTATCAGTCCCTTGGAACTGTGGTTGGTTCAGTTATGTTGGTCTAAGTTTCTAAATCTTTCAGATGTTTGTCTTTTATATTATTGTTATTATTAGATAAATTATTCTCCTGGTTCTGCTCACTTCACTTTGCATCAGTTCATATAAATCTTCCCAGTTTTTCTGAATCATGCCCTTCATCATTTCTTACAGAACAATAGTATTTCATCACATTCATGTACCATAACTTGTTCAGTCATTACACAGTTGATGGGTACCCCCTCAGTTTCCATTTCTTTGCCATCACAAAAAGAGCTGTTCTAAATATTTTTGTACATATGAGTCCTTTTTTCCTTTAATCTCCTTGGGGTATAAACCTAATAGCAGTATTGCTGGATCAAAAGAGTATGCACAGGCTAATAGCATTTTGAGCATAGTTCCAAATTGCTTTCCATAATGATTGGACTAATCTACAGTTCCCAAATCTTATATTATTTTACCTGTTTTCCGAGAGCCCCACTAGCATTTGTTATTTCTTTTTGTCAACTTTGCCAGTATGGTGAGTGGGAAGTGGTACCTCAGAATTGTTTAGTTTGCATTTCTCTGACTATTAGTGATTTAGAGCATTTTTTCATATGACCATTGATAGTTTAGATTTTTTTCCTTTCAGAACTACCTATGTGTATGTATATTCTTTGACCCAACAATCCTTCTGGGCTCTTATTCCTATAAATTTGAATGAACAGCTCTCTTTTCTTCTAAGTTCTGTCTCTCTCATTGCTTCTCTGTTTAGCTGTCCCATTTTTTTCTAAATTCATAACATCTGTTTCTCTTTCTCATATGGCTGCTCTTTTTTTTTGTTGTTATTGAATTCTTTCTTTCTTTCTTTCTTTCTTTCTTTCTTTCTTTCTTTCTTTCTTTCTTTCTTTCTTTCTTTCTTTCTTTCTTTCTTTCTTTTCTTTCTTCTTTCTTTCTTTCTTTCTTTCTTTCTTTCATTTGGCTAGGCAGTGAGGTTAAGTGACTTGCCCAGGATCACACAGCTAGTAAGTATTATGTGTCTGAGGCCAGATTTGAACTCAGGTCCTACTGAATCCAAGGCCAGTGCTCTATCCACTGCGCCACCTAGCTGCCTCTATATGGCTGCTCTTCTTTCAAATCTGCACTAACTATTCTTCCTTCTTACTCAGTTGGTGTGTCTTCTCCATTTGCCTGCTCCCTTCTTTTTCCAAACGTACATCTACCCAGTTTCATCCTTTGGGTGGGTGTAGGCACCTCAGGAATCTCACAACATAGTGAACACCAGCTTCCTCTGTATTTTAACTGTGCACTAACTGAAATGTTGGGTAAAGGGCATAGGCATTTTCCATTCAAATTACATTAATGTTATCCCTTGTTTTCTTTTTTAACCTGACTTTTTAAAAGCAGTATTTGGTTTCTATTTGTGTCCTGTATTGTGTGTTTAAAAGTTAGTATTTCCAAAACTTGTATTTGATTTATTGATTAAACACTGAATCTATTTAGTTTAATATAAAGGTGGCTATCGCTAGGGAATGCATAAAATTCAAATTGAATTGGGAATTCTGCTTGAATTCCTTAATTGTAAATTTTGTTAATCATCACATATATATGAACCAAACTCATGGAAGCAGGTAAACATTCTGGAAATCTTATAAGTTACTAAATTTGACATGTGTAAACATAAGTACTAAATTTAACCTTATGGAATGATTTATTTTTTTTTTTGGACAACTCAGACAGGTAAGTGCTTATTTAGGTTTGATAAATGACATATAGAAGATACTGCAATTTAAAGAAACACATTAGTTTCCAAAAACCAAATAAGAAAAATTTCAAGCTGGAAAAATTGTTTCATATGCCCCGTATATAGAATAAAATGCCTCTTTCACTCATTTTATTCTTTCCCTGCTTCTTTTTCTCCCAATACCTATGAAATTGATGTAGTTTAGTGCCTCTCTTTTTATTCCTCATCTCTTTATAGTAACCTTGGGTTTCATGTTGCTTAAAGTTGAGCTTAAAGGACTTCATTAAAGAATCAACAGTAAAATAAAAGTAAATGACAAAATATAATTTTAAATTTGGTAATTTTAACTTATCATTGTCTTCCAGTATGAATATACTGTTTTGTAATATTTATGAGTTCAGTAATATGATTTATTATACCCTCTGATTACTGATGAGGGGAAGAGCAAGATTTAGTTTATTTTATTAATACCTAAAATATATTCCATTTTCAAGGCAATAACAACCATGAAGAATTATAGCTTTATTTTTTAAAATCTTGAAAGGTGTTACCTTTGAAGACTGTTAACATCCCCCACAACTTGTTCACTGTTTCATTCATGTATGAAAAGTATTTTATTTTTAGTAAAAAATACGTACTTTATATATTCTTGAAAGAAAATTTACTTCCAGCTAAGAAAAGTGAGCATAAAGTAACATTAGCACATTTAAGATTTTTTATTTACACCAAGGTTCTGTTTAACATCAGATCAAATAATCTACACAGTTTTTTGGATCTGTTTTCTTTTTCATATTCATCTTTAGTAATAACTTTGATAAATTTTGTGTTGAAATAGATTCCATTGTTATAACTTAATATCTTGTAGTTTGCTCTTCAAATATTCTTTGCAAGGACAAACTGAACATGGATACATCATCTGGTTAGAAAGGGAACATACTTCCTTCATTATTTTTAGAAGAAAGCTATAAAAAATATCAGTGTGCATATATTCTATCTAGAAGGAATGTTTAGTTAGTTACTTTTAGATACTACCAGATACAGACTATGTAGAATCTCATCAAATTGTGGTAGCAAAGAACTTGACATTAGACTTGAATTATGTTTATGGTAGCCATGTACCTTTCATTCCAAAGCTGTGGGCAGGTGTTCAAGCTTTGGGGGCTGTGGATTTTGTTGTGATGGAACCCAGTGCTTCCAGATTGCCTGCCTGCCTCCTCTGGTACTTGAATTTTCGGTGAGGGATGTAATAGGGATTTGGGGCTTATGCAGGCTTCGGCTGAATGCTGTACCTCCATGCTTGCATTTCTCCTTTAGGAATGGTAGCTAGAGATGAGCTTACGGTTGGCTTTTAACACAATAAACCTCAGGTCCTGGTCCAGCTGTTTTGAAAGTAGTTCCTGTGTGTCACAGCTTGGTATTCAGAAGTTTTCTTATTAGTGAACTCTGATAAGGTCATTAGATAGGCATTTAACTTTCCGTGATGTAAACTTGACCTATTTATTATCCAAATACTTAATTACACTGTACAATTTATAATTCTGCTACAATTTAGATTTATCAGTTTATAGTACAATATATTTGTAGGCCACTGAATATTTCATTTTATTTGGGGGAATGTATCTTATTTTTTATTATTTTAAAAGTGTTTTTTAAAAATAAGCAACTGCTTAAACATTTATTCAAATTGTTATCCTGTATTAAGGACAAATTTTAATCTAATCAATCCCTCTTGAATTTTAGTTGCATGATATATCAGATGTGTCTTGCCAGTGATCTGTTGTTGGTGTGATGGCCTAATGGCAAATACAGTCTTTATATATGTAATTGATCATTTGAAAACCCCAAATATGGAAGAGTCCTTTGAGTGCAACTCTAGAATAATAGCAGAGTAGAAATTGCATATGAAGTGCATGGCCTCTCTAATTTTTTTTCTATTTGGTCCTACCCCTATTGCCCTAAATTGTACAGCAACATTTTCCATAGGTGCCACATATTTCACTGCTTACAAGTTAAGTTGAGTTTTACTCACTCTTTTATGTAGGTTAGTACACAGAATATGAAGATGGGTGGGCTGCCTCGTACAACACCACCTACTCAGAAACCACCCAGCCCACCAATGTCAGGCAAAGGAACGCTTGGGTGAGTATATAACTTATTATTATAAAACAGCATGTAGCTCAAGTGATACGTGAAAATAAAACAATGCCTGTTTAAACGTGATTCTCATGATATGGAACCTGAAGAAAAAAAAAATTCCTCCCTGATTTTTTCTGTCCTGTATGTTGTCTTTCTCAGAAAGTAGCTTGTGATGATAATAAAAGCATTCTTCTAGTATTATTTGCTATCTATTTTTAAACTGCAGGTAAAATACTAGTATGGACTTAGAATTCATTACATAATTGGAATTTTGAGGGAAGCTTTTTCTCAGGTTTGTGGCATCTTTCTCATTATATTTGAGCTAAGCTTACAATATTTTGTTGGAAAAAAAATTTGCATAACCCAAATTTTTGTGTAAACTTAAACCTATACACATATTGCATTTCTGATTAGCTGATTAGCTATAGGTGAACTATATGTGAGAGTTCAGTAAAAAAAAGCCCATTCAGGGAGAAATTTGCCATTCTTCTACTTTAGGGGTTCTTAACCTTTTTTTGGTGTTAAGGATACTTTTGGCAGTCTGGTGAAAACTATGGACCCCTTCTCAGAATAATTTTTTACTCATAAAATAAAATAGTGTTATAAAGCAAATCAATTTCATTGGAATATAGTTATCAAAATATTAACAATAAAACAAAACAAATTCATAGACCCCAGGTTAAGAACTCCTGTTATTACTGTAACATCATAATGAAAACTTGGCTTACTGTAATCATGCATATGTTGTGTTTCAGTGAGTATAATAGAACTTGGGAGGGAGGATGATACCAGGGTTATATAATCTTAACCCTGTCACTCATTCTTAATTATTGGGTAGTCAGTGATTCAGTTTTTTCATCTGTAAAATGGGGGTATTATTTGACTTGTTTACTTTTTTAGAGACATTCTAATGAGAAATTGGATTTTTAAAAAAAATATTAAAAAATCATAGTGTTTTGAAGTCTCAGATTGGCATTATATATTGTGGTAAAAATGACTAAGGTGCAATTCTGTTTTTGGCCCCCTCACCAAAAAAACCCCCCCGAATTAACTACTTTGGAATAGTTGAGAACAGGTGAAACTATTGAACTTAGATATGAAAAAGAACAGAGAAGAGAGTAAACTGAGATAACAAAAAGAACAGGAAGAGAATGTAATGAAGTGGGAGAAGTTTTTGCAGGCCCCCTGGGAGAAACAGAAATAAAAGCCAGGTCTAGCTAGTATTAGCAAAGAAGATAATGGGGGATGGACAAGGGAATTCGAGCCAGTCTAGGGGAGAAAAGGGCTGAAAGTTAGAACCTAAAACTGAACTGCAGAGCAGGTTAGAGAAGGGAAACAAAACTGGGCTTTGTAAGATGTAAAGCCCTGTCTAAATGTAAGCAGTTCTTATGATAAGAGAACACAACTGGGCAGGGACCTGAGTAATTATTTACTGACTTCCCCGTTTCCTCAAATGGAATATTTATGTCCTTCAAGTGATACTATAAAGTGCATAAGAGCTTTGTTTTTTTTAATAAAATATTTTGTTTAAAAATATATATATATATATATTATATATATATAAACTACTACAAATTATTTTGATTTGTAATAGGATAAAATTTATCCACTGCCTTCATACTTTATCTACATGCCACACTCCATACTTCATACTTCATAAAGAATCTTATAAAAGAGTTTTTGTAAAATTTGGTTTTTTTTGTAGAAATTCTGAGAGCTGCCTGGAGCTTCAAGTTACAAAGCTCCAGAGGCATTTGGTGACAGTGTTAGTACTCTCTTGTCCTTGACACAGTACTGTTATTCCTCTCCTCCCCACCCCACTCTCAGCTACCATTTTTATTTTTCTGTCTGTTCTTCCTTCCTTTTACAATATTAATTTTGTCACTCCTCTGCCCCACCTCGCCTTCCCTTAGATGAAACAAAGGCAGGCAATTTGATTGGCTTTCTCTTCCCAACATCCACAGCTAATTTTTTGGAAGAGAGTATAGAGGTTGGGAGAAAAGGATTGGCTTTTTGGCCTGATGTGGGACCTGGGGTCATCCATAGTTGAAAAGGGTTTGAAGAGCACACTTTTATGTGGCATATTCTAAATGACGCATCCATCATATCTAGTAACTCTTCTCCCTGTAATGTCTTCTCCCTTTCCAGTAACTTGTTTTATGCAGTCCACCTGTTTATGAAAAGTTGTATCTAAGTTAACATACCTATTTTTTTCATTATAGATATAATTACATTGTAGTTTCAGAGATGATGTCTTCCTTTCCAAGTGATTTTCAATTTGTAGTCCTAACACTTCAGTTTCAGTCTCCCTTCCCCCTTGCTGTTTTGCAAATGAAAAAAATAAAATGCTTAAATGTAGACATTGTATGCAAAAATCTAAATGCACTAGGTGAGCTGATACTTACAAGGGAACCCAGTAGTTTCTTTGTAAAGCAAATAATTGTTTTAGTGATACTGTGCCTCAAATTTAGAAGGCAGCATGGTATAGTAGAAAGGGTGTTTCCTAAATGGTGGCGTACCTGTCCTTAAGAGAAAAGGGGGAGAAGAGGGTAGGAAAGAAAGGAACATAACATCCCAGGATTTGGCAGGTTTGTGGCTAGTCGGTAGGTAGACCCCAATAGAATGATAATGATGAGATGATACATCATGAATTGTTTTAGATTCATTTAAGTAAAAGGTAAATTAAGAAGAAGAGTATTAGTACCCCAAGGGGAAGGGACTTTTTTTTAGAACTCACATCCCAAGATTCTAGTTTTTTCTTTGTTAGAATATCATCTGTATCTCCTCATGTCATTTTGGAATTCAGGACATTTAAAAGAGAGGAGAACTAATTAGCTACTTTTTTTTGTTTCATCTCCTCCTATTCTTATTTCATGCCATTTACAGAGAATTTTTTTTGGGAAAACAAGAAAAGTACGTATGTTAACAGAATCTGGTCTCATCTCTATATTACTAGCTCAGTGGAAATGAGGAAGAGAATTAAGAAATGAGGGATAATATTTTAGAGCTTCCCCTTTGCCCCCATATGAAAGAAGGGGGAAATGGGTAATCAATGGTCAAAGATGAAAGGTAATAAAGGCAAATAAGTTTGTAAAAATGGAAGAGCAAAAGAAATATTAAGTATCAAAATTTGAATTTTATTTTCACGGATACAATTGAATATCACTTGAATATATTCCTTTTCTTTAAAAAGAAAATGAACAATGTGGAAATTGGTTCTTTGAGCACCAGCATGGGCATCATTGGGTTCCAGAACTGAGTACTAGTTATGCACTGACTTTTGAAGACCCCTAGTATGGGGGGAAGGCATGAAGAATAACAATAGCCTGTTGTTTGGGGCATTTGTAAGAGCTTGATTTAATATTTAGAGAGCATTTTGAGTTTTCAGATAAAAAATAGATACTAGAAGACATGGGAATAAGAAATGGGACTTTTTTTGTGCTTGTATTCTAAGATAATGAGTACTCTTGTAAACTATGCAAAGAAAACTACATTATCTGAGGGAAATAGAGTTGGAGACAGAAATAATATTTAACTTTTAAAAAGCATAAAACCATACCCATTTAAATCTCTAATAGGTGGGAGGCAAAGGATACCTGAAGAAGAGGTGATTGGATGATGTAAAAACACACATTTTCCTATCTAATTACAATTTGTACTTCACTATTGGCAACTCTATCTTTGAACTTGTTATGCCTAAATTTGCCTAATTACACAATACATACGCTCTTCTTTTTGTAGGCGTCACTCCCCCTATCGCACACTGGAGCCAGTGCGTCCTCCAGTGGTACCAAATGATTACGTACCTAGCCCAACACGTAATATGGCTCCCTCGCAGCAGAGCCCTGTGAGGACAGCTTCTGTGAATCAAAGAAATCGAACTTACAGGTATTTTCTCCACCTCAGCACATAATGTGATGGCCATAGTACCATAATCTGTTCAAATAACTTCAGTTAAATTTTTCTCATTCCAAAGCACCCAAGTCCCTTTTCCTTGCTTTACTCCCACTAAACCACATCTGCTCTCACCTTCCTCTTCTGATGTTCTGATACAACTTTGAGGAATTAGGAAGTCATATAAGAACAGATAACGAACTATCAACTTCTCTAAGGTTTAAATGTGCAGAGGGAAGCTTAGCTTAGGTGATGAGAAAGCATTGTGAGCCAAAAAGTTAAATGTTGAAAAATTTTCAGGTTTTTTGGTGGAACTTTACAGATGAAAAACTATACTCGATAAAACCTTAAGTGTGGGCTAGCACACCAAAGAATGATTGTGTATTAAAGTTAATCAGATATATTAAGGAAATCTGTTTTCATTGTAAATGGAGATTTTTTGGGAAAGGTATTTAGCATAACAAAGTTAATGTTATGTTTATATGTTTCTAAAATTGAGTCCTGTTGACCTATACATTGTCAGATTTTTTTTTGGCTTGAACTTTTAAAACAAAGTATTAGGAACAATGGAGTTGTCTCGAACCTAGACTTTCTTTTCCTTTTCCTGTATTTATAAAACTACACCATTGATGTTACAAGATTGAAGTGGAAGGTTCGTACTTCTTTTTTTCCCCCCCAGTAGCTCTATGTATTTCAGAAACTTAACTTAGTATATTCTGGGAAATTCTGATTAACTATTACTTTACATCAGTGTTAATGTCCTGGTGGGTCTGATTTCTTTAGCAGCAGTGGTAGTAGTGGAGGAAGCCACCCAAGTAGCCGGAGCAGCAGTCGCGAGAACAGTGGAAGTGGTAGTGTGGGGGTTCCTATAGCTGTCCCTACTCCATCTCCTCCCAGTGTCTTTCCAGGTAAACCCAGAATTCATTTATATTTCTTCCTTTTTGAAGCCTAATTATTCTCTTCTTAAACAAGACTGTTTACCAGACCTAAACAAATACTGGAAAATATTTTTTTGGAAAAAAATTAACAAGTGTTATTGATGTATTTACTCTCTTTTTATTTTTCCTTTGTTACTATGGTTTTGGGCATCTGGTGATATTGGTTAGAAAGTGCCCTTCTTCTTCTGCTACCTCAGTGCTAGTGAGACTAAGGCTTTGGGTGTCACCTGTGTGAAGGGATAGTTAGCTACCTTTGCTCTGTTCTATGGTTATAGATGGCATCTGTACTCCAAGGTATGTATTTTGGAGGAGAATGACATTGGGCACAGTTGCAACTGAGTGAGTCTACGTGGGGGCAATGGCCACACTAGAATTAAAAGTTCGGAGGCTGAGTCAGAGATCAGAAAAGGTTTTATTCTTTCTCTTAAGAAAGAGCACAGCCCTCGTCGCTCAAGCAGCGACAACCAGGGAGTGGGGAACAAAATTTTATAGTCCTAACATGATACCCCTTCCCCATTCCTGAGCCCTTCCCATTGGCTGGGTTTCAGGGTACATAATCTAAACACCGGTTTTTAGGACCCTTAGTAAGATAATATCCTTATTTGGAAATATTTGCCTAGAGACAAAGGCTGTGAAGACTTTTGATAATCTACTTAGAAGTTCTGCCCAGAGACAAAGGATTGGGAAGACTTTCAATAAAGGTTTAGAAGTTCTGCGTAGAGGCAGATAAGCAGGAAGCCCGTGGCAGTTAAGCTAGCAGTAAGCTAGCAGTCTTTCGCAATTTTTACCTTGCTAGAGGAATTGGAGCACAGGTTAGCTCTTGCTTAATGCACAGCAAATGTTTGTAGATTCATCAAGTTTTACTGCTTTGGGGGTACAAAGGGAATTTATGAGTTTCAGTACTGAGGAAACTTCATCTATCTCACTCAGCCTATCAGTGTGAATATATTACCTTTACGGGGGGGGGGGCGGGGGGACTAAATAAAATTCCAAGTGCATAGCCTACTGACAGTTGGGTCATCACAACATGAATGGGAATAAACTTGTGGCTGTGAATTTCTTTGACCTATGAAACTGAACATTTTATGAGAAACATTCCATCTTCTTCTCTGAACCAAAAGTATGCCAATAGGATTATTTTTTTTTCCCCTCCTCCATTTCTTCCCATTCCTCCTTTCCCCTTCCTATCCTCCTCCCTTTCCTTTTTTTTTTTTTTCTGTGAGACAGTCGGGGTTAAGTGATTTGCCCAGGGTCACACAGCTTGTGAATGTCAAGTGTCTGAGGTCACATTTGAACTCAGGTCCACCTGACTCCAGGGCTGGTGCTCTATTCACCGCACCACCTAGCTGCCCCCTCTCTTTCTTTCTTATCCTCCTCCCTTTCCCATTTTCCTTCTCTCTCTTCTTTCTCCCTTCCTGTTCTCCTCCCCTCCCTTCTTCCTTCCTCTCTTCCCTCTCTCTTGATCCACTTTAGCAACTAGTGTACTCCTTCCCCAAACTACCTTGTATTCATTTTGCGAATATCATATATTTACTATATCTGTGTATACATTGCATGGAACAAAGCAGTATGAGTAGGTACCAGTGTCATTTAGTTATTTATTTATTGACATGATGCTAAGCACTAGGGATACAAAAAGAGTCAAAAGACAGCCCCTGCCTTCAAGGAATTCACAATCTTAATGGGAGAGACAAGCTAACAATAAGTACAAGCAAGCTTAGTACAAGAGAAATAGGAAATAATTAACAGAAGGAAGGCACTAGAATTAAGAGAGGTTGGAGAAAGCTTCCTGTAGAAGATGGGATTTTAGCTGGGACTTGAAGGAAGCCAGGGAGTTCAGTAGGCAGAGTAGAGGATATGTGGGATGCCACTCAAATCAAAAATAAAACAAAACACAGAAGTGTACAAGGAGAAATAGAAAGTTAATTTATTATAGCTATAATTATTATTATTTCAAATCTCAAGAATGTCAAAGAAGCGATAAAAAATGTGCAGTTAGGAAGATAATTTACAATTGTTTTGGAAGGTCTTAGGGATTGGACAGACAATGCCGGGAACTGGAAGACATCTGAATAAGATCCTGTCAAAGGGAGATAAGGGGAGTAGATAAGGAACCTTTTAAGGGTTTTCTGGAGCCAGATTCCTTTAGGGGCAAAGATGTATTTGAATAAGATTAAAAAGTAAGTTAAGACTAGACAAATTTTAACTAGTGATGTATGTCACTAAAAAAAAAATAACTCACAGAAATCTATTCTTAACTCTATCCTACCTTCTGAACTCATTACCTTAATTACACTGAGAAGTCTTCACTGGGACATCCCATGCAAGGAGTCAGAGCTTTCCACACATGGAAAGCAGCCAGAGAGAATACTCAGAACTGAGAGATGGAGGGTCTTGTTCACGGAACAGCCAAGAGGCCTTTGACTACGTCAAAGAGTGCGTGTTGGGGAGGAAGGTGTAAGAAGACTGGAACGCTGGGAGGGGACTTGGTTGTGAAGGGTTTTTATGATCCTGGATCTAACATGGAGCCACTGGAGATTACTGACATTGGGGAGACATGGCTGGGCTATTTTTTGTAGTTTATTGCATTAACATGATCAAATGTAATCTTATAATATAGAGTTAGGAAGAAGAATTTCTTGTTTGTTTTTAACTTGGCATTATGTACTTCTGTTCTACATTGCTGTATGGAATTTTGAAATCTAGGGTTCAGAAAAATAAATTGTTTTTAATTCCTATCACTAACAAAAAAAAATCTATCCTAACCATCACTCTCTCTTTCCCTCCCATTTTCTCTCCCCTTCTCTCTTTTCCTTCTCTCTCTCTCTCTCTCCCCTTTTCCTCTCTCTCTCTCTCTTTCCCTGTCTCTACCTTTCTCTGTGTTTTTCAAGTAAAAAAGGCATTAAGTAAGTTATTTTTTTTTGTGGATTTATAAATCCAAAGCAGTACCCTAAGCATGTTAATTTATTTGCTGCACATTCCTTTAACATGAGCTGCTTTTTTCCAACTCTTGCATTCATTTGGTTAGTAATGAGGCCTGAATCCCTAACTAACAACTCAAAAGGCTTTTTTTCTAATCCTGGCTACTGTGACAGCGTTATTAATGCTTCCTCTTCCTCCTCTTTCTGCCTAGCCCCTGCTGGCTCAGCTGGCACTCCTCCCCTTCCTGCCACTTCTGCCCCTGCCCCTTCCCCTCTGGCTCCTGCTGCTGTCCCCTCTTCCACTGCCCCAGATGGTGCTGCTGCGGGAGCTCAGCCCCTTGCTGATGGCTTCACTTCTCCAACTCCCTCTGTTGTTTCTTCCACTCCACCTACAGGTGAGTGTTTGCTCTTTCAGGGTCAGATGAACCCTGCTTTCAGGCTGCTATTGTTATGAAGGTATAATACTCTGTTGGGTTTCGAAACTAGCTAGATATTGAGAAGGAAAACAGCAATGACAAATTAATACATTAACTAATAACTAGTGACATTTAAAAAAAACTGAAGCAAGCTTGAGCCTTTTATTTTTGAATATTCATTAGTTTTTCTTATCACATATAGTAAAGTTTGTATCATTGAACCAGAGGATTTTAACTTGTGAGATTTTAGATGATGTCTATCTAAAATTCAGAAAAGTGTTAAATGTATATATGAAGTGATACAAAGCATATTCCCAGATTAGCCATATTAACAAAAAAAAAAGCAAGAAAAATGAAGAAAGAGGAAAAAATATGCTTTAATCTGCACTCAGAATCCATCAGTTCTTTCTCAGGAAGTGGATAGCATTTTTCCTTACATCATTTGGCATTGTTGTGGATCATTGTATTGACCGGAATTTCCAAGTCTTTTGCAATTAATCATCTTTACAGTATTGCTGTTACTGTGTACATTGTTCTGCTGGTTCTGCTCTCTTCACTTTGTATCACTTCATACAAATCTTTCCAGGTTTTGCTGAAGCAGTCACAACTTGCTTAGCCATTCCCCAGTTGATGGCTTCCTCCTCAGTTTCCAATTTTTTGCCACAACAAAAAGAGCTGATATTTACATGTGTACGTATTTACATACTTACATACATATATGTGTGTATGTATATATCTGTATATGTGCATATCTATATCTCCATTCTGTTTCTTTTTATTAGATCTCTTAGGGGTATAGACCTAGTATTAGTATTGCTAGATCAAAGGGTATGCACAATTTTATAGCTCTTTGAGTATAGTTTCAAATTATTCCCCAGAATGATTAGACTAGTTCACAGTTCTGCCAACAATGCATTAATGTTCCTGTTTTCCCACTTCCACTCCAGTATTTCTTATTTTCCTTTTTGTCATCTTAGCCAATCTGATGAGTATGAGGTGGTACCTCAGAGTTATTTTAATTTTCATTTCTCTAATTATTAGTTCTTACTGGAACTGCTAAATCAGCAGTTCCTAAACCTTTTTGGTCTTAGAACTCCTTTTCACTGTTAAAAAGTATTGAGAACCCCAAAGAGCTTTTGTTTATGTGAGTTTTATCTATGGCTACTTACTATATGAGAAATTAAAACAAACAAGCTTTAAAAATATGTATTAATGTAGTATTAATGATAAACCCATTACATGTTAACATAAATGACATTTTAATAAACATTACTAAATTTTCCAAAACAAAATCAAAATTGGTGAGAAGAGTGGCATTATTTTACATTTCTTTGTAAATTTCTTTTAGAGAAGATGGCTAGATTCTTATATTTGGTTCTGAATTCAATCTGTTGTACTGTGTTGTTTTGGTTTCAGTATATAAAGACAATCTGGTCTCAGATATGTAGTTTGAAGAGGGAAGAGTATTTTAGTAGGCAAATAGTATCTTAGTATTATTTTGAAACGAGTTTTGACCATCCCCAGTCCCTAAAAAGGTCTCAGAAATCCTAGGAATCCCAGGAACATACTTTGGGAACCTCTGGGCTAGATCAGTTGCCAGGTATGCCGTAGAAAGGATTCTTTTTCTGGTGCTGTTTGCAATAGATGACCTTTGGGGTCCCTTTCAACTATGAAATTCTGGGATTCCAGTTAAGTTATTGATTGAATCTAAAAACTCTTGTTAACAGTGTAAAAAAGGCATAATTTCATTTGTAGGAGGAGAAGCATGGTAAAGAGTAGTATACATTTATTCTTCCTTATAAAAAGTTCTGAATAGAACTGCCTAAAAAAAAAGTTTATGTAATATTCCACTCTGTTTTATATCTCCCTTCTCCCCCCCCCCAAATGAAATAGGAAATAAAATCTCCAGTTGGCTTTAACTGGTAAAAATTTGCCATAGAATAAAACTTGTTGATGGTGATGGTGATTTGGTTTGGTTTAGTATTTTTAAAAAATATATATTTATTTAGCATTTTATTTTTCCCTAATTTTCAACATTTGTTTTTAAAACTTTGAGTTCCAAATTCTCTCCCTCCCACCAGACCCCCTTCATTGAGAAGGCAGACAGTTTCATATGGGTTATACAAGTGTAGTCATGCATAACATTTCCATATTAGTCGTGTAAAAGAAAACATAGACCAAAAAAAACACCTCTTTGGTTTAGTCTTGATATTGAATTTGATGTATGATGCATCTTATTTGTGTGTGTGTGTGTGTGTGTGTGTGTGAGAGAGAGAGAGAGAGAGAGAGAGAGAGAGAGAGAGGGGGGGAGAGAGAGAGAGAGAAGGTTCTGTGCAGTTTCTTAATTTGAATCAACAATGGATCGAAGACTTTGAGAAATGGAAGGAGCTTCAGAGAAACCTGTGGGAGACCACTTGATGCAGTGATGTAAAGTGTTGGAACTGCAGTTTGAGGGCCTGCCCTTGAAATCCTGATTTGTCTGTGACTGTTTTTATGGCCTGGGACTAGTCACTACTTTTTGGGCCACAGAATGCACATCTTTAAAGGAGAGGATTAGACTAAGAGGCTTGATAAAAGGTCTGGGCAGCTCTGAGTCTCCTCTTACAAGGTGGTTGCTCTAGCATGGGAAGGGACCTCAGAGTCCACATAATCTAACCTCTTATTTTACAGTTGAAGGAATTTAGGCCAAGAGAGGCTGTGTGACTTGTCCAGGGTCACACAATCGATGGTGGAGGCAGAATTGAAAACATGTCCTTGGACTCCAGATTTATAGTTTCTTTTCATTATACTATGTGACTATCTAGTTCCCAGTTACTTTTTATAGGAATCTCGTGGGTCTTTTAATAATGCTCTAACAAAACCATCTTAATTCTAATGATTAATTTGTTTACTTAAATAAGTCTTTTAATTTTTATCTGATGATTTCATTTTATCATTTTTTGAAATGTCTTGTACTGCTTTCTCTCTTAATGGATCATTTTTTTTCCTAATTATCATTCTCACCTTTTTGAATTAGCTGTGATATGTATTTCCTGTTCCTCTTGGATTTTAAGTCAGAGATTTCATTAATTTTCAATTTGTTCCTTTGCAGTTTTGGATACTTTGTTCACAGTTATAGATTTGAAATGGCATGCATAGGAGAACATATAAACCTGATGTAACACATAACTTAGTAATCCATTTGGGAATAGATTTATTAAATTTAGCTGTTATTTTACTTATCTGCTTTTCTAACTTGATATTGAAAGTTTGTTGTTTAGTTGATTAGTCATGTCTGACTCTTCATGACCCTATTTGGGGTTTTCTTGGCAAAGATACCAGTGTGGTTTGCCATTCTTCCTCTAACTCATTTGACAGATAAGGAAACAGTAAGTGTCTGAGGCCAGATTTGAATTCAGGTCCTTCTGACTCAGGGGGCCAGCACTCTATTCACTGGGTCACCTAGGTGCCAGTAATAAAAGTAGAGTAACAATTACTTTGCTATTTATCATTTCAAGGTAATTTACATTCAGCTTGTCTAAATATTAAACCTTTTTGAATACTCTTATTAAATTTTAAAATTGCCGTCTTTAAAGTAGTTTTGTTATTTAAATTTTTTTATTTAATTAAGGTTTTAGTATTTTATTTTGAATGACAGATTATTGCTCCCCCCCAAACCAGGTCACCCTGTTCAGTTCTACAGCATGAACAGACCTGCTTCTCGGCATACTCCCCCAACAATAGGAGGCTCTTTGCCCTACAGACGTCCTCCTTCCATCACCTCTCAGACAAGTCTTCAGAACCAGGTGAATGGAGGACCTTTTTATAGCCAGAACCCAGGTAAGATTATCCTCGAGGCTCTTTACAATTTAACTTAAGAAACTTGAACTGCTTTTTAAATACTCATGTTATTTTCAATAGTCTTTGCTTAAACTGATAAATAGTTTCAAATATTGGAGTACCTTGTTTTATGCAGTAGTTGTGTTCTTGAAATGTTATGTAGTTCACTTGTTGAGAATTGAATCATAATCTTAATATAGTAGGGGAAATTTAGTATTTTAAGTAATGTTTTAAGCAGCGTTCCCACTAATTTTTTAAAACTTTTTTATTTTAGATTTGAATACTAAAACTTAAATACATAGAAAGAAAAGAAAAACATATTGTAAACTTAAATATTAAAACTTAAATATAAAATAAGAAAAGAAAAAAATGATGTCATGTGCACAGCAGACCATAAGAGAGGATTCAAAATACATAGCAATAGATTTCCATTTCAAGAAAGCATATATATTTAATACTATATATGGTGTTGAAAGCTGTCCATTTTTTCTTTGCTTCTTTGTAGGTTTTCTTTTGTTCTCTACTTTGTACTTTGTACTTTGTTCTTTTTTTCCCCCCTTCCCACCCACATTACAATAAAGCATGGATATATAGACACATATATACACACACACGTGTACATATATACATACATAGTAGACACACACGTATAGACATATACTTTCCCTAAGAGATTCTATTCCTAATCTTTGTTTTCATGTTTATGCATATGTCTTATTTCCTATCCCTCCTGACTCTTCTACTGTACCTCGTACTCTTCTACCTGCTACCTTGCCCTTCTTACTTAACTTACCCCCCGCCAAGAATCCCTCCCTTATCTTCCCATTCCCATAAATCTAAACACCCTTCTGTATCCCCCTTTAACCTATTCCTTTACTCTCCCCTCTAAAGATCCCTCCCTTATCCTCTCCCTCTCCCTATCCCCTTAGTATTTTCTTGTTTTCTAAATTTAGAAGACTTTTATATTCTTCTAGATGTGTATGTATTATTCCCTTTTGAACCCATTCTGGAAGAAAGTAGCTTTCCAGAATTAACAGCCCTCCTCCCCCGTGTAATGCGTCTGTATGGGTTCTTCCTCTTGTACTTCATTTGTATAAGATAATTACTCTTTTTAGCTGTTCCTGAATGGTTTTACTTTTTGAAGTCATATCATGCTCAGGTTTACCCCCATCTTTATTATAAACTACCCAATTACTAATAACAATCTTAGACATATGTTTACCATTTTGCATATGTAAAAGGTAAATAGTCTGTCCTTAGTGAGTCTCTTGTAATTGGTGTTTGGTATATAACTTGTTTTTGTTGCCTCTTGTATGTCAAATCTTCTGTGAAGTTCAGGGTTTTTTTTTTTTAAACAAAGTCCTGAATGTTTGACAGTTCATTAAATGTCCTTTTTTTTTTTCCATTCAGGATTATGCTTAGCTTTGCTTGATATGATATTTTTGGCTGGATCTCCAGTTCTTGTGCCGCTGCTAGGTCTTGTGTGATTCTAATTGTGGAACTACCATATGTATGCTTGTAATATTTTATCCTTGAGCTGGGGGTTTCAGAATTTGACTATAATATTCCTGTGGCTTTTTCTCATAGGATCTCTTTCACTTGGCGATTGGTGGATTTTTTCTGTTTCTACTTTCCCCACTTACTCTAATACTTTGGGACACTTTTCTTTATTTCTTGTATTGTATCAAGATTCTTTTTTTGATCATAGCTTTCAGGTAGTCTGATTATTCTTATGTTTTCTCTTCTTGATCTCTCCAGATCAGTTTTTTTTAATGATATGTTTCATATTCTCTTATATTTTTTTCATTCTTTATATTTTGTTTTATTATTTCTTGATCTCTTATAACTTCACTGGCTTCCCCTTGCCCCAGGGTGGAGAACCTGCAGGCTTGAGGCCACATATGGTCTTCTACATCCTTGGGTGCGGCCTTCTGACTGAGTCCAAGTTTTATAGAACAAATCCTTTTAATAAGGGGCCCAATTCTGATTTCAAGGAATCATTTTCTTCCTTGAGATTCTGCATCTCCTTTTCTAATTGGTTGACTTTCTCTTCATAATCTTCTTGTTTTTCTTGGATTATTCTTTTAGTTTTTCTTTAGTCTCTCTCATTGATTTTTAAAGTATTTTTTTAAGTTTTTAAGTTTTAAGTGAATTCTTTTTGGACAGGTGACCATTTGACATTACTCTTTGGGGTAGAAGAGTGTGTCTTTGTTTCACTATACTCCTTTGAAGATGAACCCCAGTCTTCTCTATTCCTATAATAACTTTAAATGTTGGATTCTTTCTCCTTTGCCTGTGCATTTTTTTTTTTTTGGTAATAGCTTAATTTCTGTAATCATCTCTTGTCTTAGAGTATTGGGTGTGGTGCCAATGGCCTCTGATCCTCCTTCAGTTCTCCTCTCTGACCTTGAACCCAAACCAAGACCTGTATGTGCCCATAGTCAGAGGTGTCCCCACTCCACTGCTTCTGCACTCAACCAGTGTGTGCTCGTTCCTTCTAACCCCCGGCTGCATCTCAGCAGCACAACTGGGTCTGGTGTTCCTTGTCAGCAGAGGTTCTCTTGATGTTCCCTGGCTCAGATGCCCAGTTAACCCCAGGGCTTGCTGCTTGTTGTTGAAATGGTCCCTAGCCTAGACGTGTTTACTCTTCACAGGGACCAAGCTATCCCAGGATTTTTCTTCAGATCTTCTCCAACTGTCCCAGGAGGACCCCTCAGGTGCTGTTTTATCCCTTTTGTGGAGGAAATCTTGAGAACTCGGAATTTTCTGAACTATTCCGCTATCTTCCCGGAATCCTCTCCCTCAATAATTTTTCATTTTTGTTTTTGCTTTTTTGCTTTTTTTGGTGAGGCAGTTGAGGTTAAGTAACTTCCCCAGGGTCACACAGCTAGTAAGTGTCAAGTGTCTGAGGCTGGATTTGAACTTAGGTCCTCCTGACTCCAAGGCTGGAGCTGTATCCACTGCACCACCTACCTTCCCCTCTCACTAATTTTTTAAAGTTACATGTGGATGACTATGATATGTGAGCAACCAGCTATAAATACAGAGTGTATATGAATACAGTTACTGGTGAAATGATATAAAACCTAGAACAAAGTTAATTTGATGCACATTTAATAGTATGTATTAATAGTTTTTTTTTTGTAATAGTTAGGCATAATAGTAAGCAGTTCACATCAGTGACAGCTCCATCATAGCTTCCTTCTCTCCTCTCTGACATATGGAGGGGTTCTTCCTTCACTTCTGCTCCACTTTCATCTAAGCTGGCCTTAGGTCCACAGTACCTCTTGTTCTAATTCCCGTTCCCTAGCATGCCAACATGTTAGCTGGGAATTTCCTGAACATTTGAGCTATAGATGGCAAGGGAGGTAGAACTGATCACTCATTGTCTCTTGGGCATCAGATCTATGGGTTTCCAGAGGTACCTCAGAGCAGATTCTTGCTCTGCCTAATTATTCTTTTTAAACTCTTTTACCTGACCTGGAAGATGCAGGCTGTAACCATAGAAACCCTTTCTTGGTTTTTACCTGTGATATAATAGGTGGGGTGTTATGATTTCAGGGAAGACTCCTCCAAAATTTCTTATCTAGATCTTCCAATTAGAGATTAATTACCGCTAGGTAATTTCTAGGTAATTAATAATCAATTTATTAATCAAGCTAGCAAATAATCAATAAATTGATGGTTAGTGGTTTCTCTCAGTAACCAAAGACTTAAATACCTTTGGAAAAGTGGGTGTCTCTAACAGTCAGGCATCAGTCCTGATTGGTGAACAGTCAGTGAAGAGGTGGATGAAGAGGAGGGCTGAAAGCATTCAGTTCCTCTTGCACAGACTCAACTACTTCCAGCCATCTGGACAAAGGTATCTGTCTCCACTCAGACCACTTAAATTGACCAGTGGGGGTTTCAAGGGTGTCCTAAATTATATTCTCTTTATACTTTAATCATAAATAAGCACTTCTGTTGGGTGGAGTCCTGTCCAAGATTGAGGAGAATGTTCAGGAGAGTCAGGCCAATCTCATTGTCAGCCCTTGTCCTTCGGAGGCTAACTAATCTACAGGTTTTGAATAAGAAAGTGAAAAGATAAAAAAAAAACCCCTCTGGTCCCAGATATTAATAATTGTTTATTAATAATAATTTCACATCTATGAGAAGATTAAGGCATTGACTAGCAGATGAAGAGGCAAGATTAGTGGGGGGATGGTTAGAAATAGAGGTTTGAGGAGGAGAGAGGCTACTGGACATTTATTGCTTAGTGTGCACCACAGTGGGGTAATAATTCTAGACACTCTTAAATTAAGTGAACTAAAGAGATAATTGAACTCACATTAAAGATAATTATAAATTTTGGTTACATTTGGCATTTGATAAACATACTTCATCCCTCTCAGAGAGGGAGGTGGGGAACCAAGATGCAGAATGTTGCATATGTTACCAAACATGGACTTGTTGGTTTGTCTCGGTTAACTGTTTTCTTTTGTGACAAGGGAGTGTTCTGTGGTGTGTTAGGTAGAATTCAGAAAATGTCTGTGGTATAAAAAAAAGCCATTAAGAAAAAAGTTTTAAGGGTAAGGTATAGGAAGAATACTATGTTAAGAAGCTGTATGTCGGTGGAGAGGTAAGTAGAATGCTAGGATGTAGAGGAGCCCAGATTCTATGCGAACACCATACGGTTCTTAGAAAAGCGCTATCCTAAAAAGATAAGATCAATCACCTATTGACTCCTACTCCTGGCCTTGGGATCCATGGAAGGACCCCTTAATCTTATGGAAATCGAGAAATAGGTAAGTTAAGGTAGGTGGAAAGCAGAGTTGGGTGGGGAAGAAGAGGGGAAGGGTAAGGAGAGATGTCTGTTTAGCACCAACAATACCAAAACTAGTAGAGTGTGAATGGTCTTAGACAGAGATGAGCTTGAATGTCCCAAAAACTCCTGGTGACCGGGGCCCTGTGTGCAGGGCTGTCATGGGGAGCTCGAGGAGGATTCTGGTAAGGCAGCCTAG